TTGTAATATGGCGAGATTTGTAGCATATCATACCAACTCTACCGTAACCATTTGCATACTGTCCAAATGCTTCAAAAATATTTTGAGTGGTACGAAAATCAGTTTATAGAGAAATAAAACTTGTCAGTCATTCATACAACAGATGCAATAAAATTTTACTATACGGACACCACAATAATTTTACGTACGTCGTAAAAAGTTTAAAAGATCGAAGTTTCTTTAAACATAGTGAAGCGAATATCGTCTGTTTTAAAATGATATTTTTATGTTACTGCACCTAATTTCTAAAATTGTGCTGAAATAGAAGAAGTATTTAATTTTAGAAATTAATTATATCCATTACTAAGTTTGAGTAGAAGATATTTGTTTTAGTACGTCTTATTTAACGAAGAAAGTAACAGCCAAATATAGTTTTCAAAGGTTTCCATACAAAAGTTACTTTCTCAGGATTTAATAATTTCAAAATAATGCGATTTAAATAATAAATGTTTGTTGTATATTGTAGGTTTTGTTTAAGTTCTAGGAGTCTTGCCCTTGTTTGGTTCGCAGGTTAGGTCAATAGGATGGAAATATACATTCTTCGTCATACAAATTTATATGTGTGTTTTTCCATAATTCTTATATTTGCAATAACAAACTGATTCGGGCCACGGAAGTGTCCACGTCAAACGCGCACCGCCAAGACAAATATATGAGCGAGGACGATCTGATTGATCTGTGCCACTTTTTTATAGTATTTCAATTTTATATAAGTTCTTATATATTACTAATCTTGATATTTGTCTATGTTTTGTGATTTGTTTTAATCCTTTCTATTAGTAGAGACACATTCGTAATGTGTAAATAACATTATTTCTGTAATAATTAGTACTTTTTCATTGTTATGAACTAACTTATGTATGTCTACAATAGGTATTTAAAAAAAATTGTTTTTGTAGCAACCAGTATACTTAAACAATTGCATCTAGTTACATTTTTAAAATCCCTTTTTTGTTGATGTAAAGTAAAGAAGTTAATTTCACGAGAATTTGTTATATGACAAATGCTGCTTCACAGTTTTTATCAATTATTTATTAACTATACTAGGTATACTTAGTATAGGTAAAAAATAAATGATACCAAGAAATAGGAATACAAACTGTGCAAAATACTGTCCGATTTTCGGCCATTATTCGTTGCCAACTGTAACATTGACCTGAGTACATACGCTTATTACATTTCAATTCTCTAACTTTTCATGTTTACGCTATACTTAATGTATTTTCTTCTGTTTCTGTTTCCAAGATTATTGTTAGATATATATGTATCGAGAAATACACGTCATTCCTCAGAAATGGCAACTTCGTAACAGGGAACATAGAAGTTAAAAGATGTCCCATTCTATAGTCAGACCATATATCTATTCAGTTGAATAAAACAGCCAGCGCCGTACTACACCAGGCGTCTGAACGCAACCAATAGCGATAGCTTGTCGACCAGAGTCGCGATTCTTAAGAGGGAAGGAATGATCTAGAAGATTAACTTCGCAATCAATGCAAAATCTATTTCTTATAATCATAGTATAGATCTTACTACACATATTGTCACTAGATAAACATAATTAAACTTTAGAAGTCATGTAATATTTTAGTATGGTTATGTATTTCTTAATAATATCACGTTATCACACAATTTTATCATTAGGTAGCTTTTATATTCTAGTAACTAGGCACTAGATACCTATAATGTGCTCTACAATCGCGTAATAACCACGTAAGGTGTTATCGCGTGACATTGTTGATAAATTGCCAATTTTTAATTTACTTGTTCCTAACAAGTCACGAGTGACATCGTGTCATTGTTTACTTTTTTTACAAGCTTCATAAACATCCCTGTCTTTGTAATCATTGAATGATTGTAATTTTTTTTCTAGTAATAACGAGTTACTCAATATCAATCAGAATAACGTCGGCGGTATAACAGTTTAGAACCCTACCTCATTCTCGAGTCGCTGTTTTGATCTCTGCATAATACAAGTAGACGGTTTCTTATTCTTTTGTATTGGTTTAGTAGTTTTCTTGGGATTAATAATCCCAACAACAAAGAAATCTTTTGGTCTCTATTACCTGCAGTAACTAGGGATTTTTTTAAATTTGTTAATTTATATAATTCGTATTTAATAGTGTATATTTATATTTTAATTTATTGATCAATCTAAAAAACTTTATATATATGGCAATTTCAATTTGATAACAAAAGAAATATATATATACTGTTCATTGGTACTCATATATGTTAAAATACCACTTTTTTTAATCGTCATCACATATTACACATATTAGTGTAATATGTGATGTATTATCATTATTAGTATTTACACATATTATTAGTAACAAATTCTTCATTTTATTTTCTTTATATAAAAGTAAATAAAGTAAATAAAATGTAAAGTTTCATATAAAGAAAATAAAATGAAGAAATGTAGTTTTAAACAATTGTAACTCAAGAACCATCTGCTTCACATCTTCTTAAATATATGTATACCTACGTGTTAACTGTTAATTCTCAAGAGCACATGTTACGCGGAAACTGTTCCTAGCCAAGCGTGCCTACAATGTCAACTATTTTGGAGACACGGTATTTTTATTTGCCAATAGAGACTGATGCTTCATCATCAGAATATTCTTCGCGAGTTATATATATTTAGAAATAAATTAGTTTTATATATACTTACTCATTTTTAATCTGGCATATCTCTGTATATGAAATAATTTCTGAAACATTAAAACGAATACTAATGTAGGAGATAAATAAACCATTATTTTTCACGATACTACGATTTATAAAATATTTTTAATGTTGATGAAGCTCTCGCATAGTTTACGTATTATAATTTATTAATATTATAATTTCGTGTATGCCATTTGTTCTTGACTACAAGTAAATAATTAAAAGACGTCACGAATTATTTTATATAGCTACTTTTAGCCCCCAGACTAGATTATAATAAACCACGCTTAAATAATTCAATCCATAATAATTTTATCTATCTTTGTACAAAATGAAAGTTGAAATAATATTTGATGAAGTCGTTATATGATATAGTATATACTATTTTATACCTAAAGATCCAGGGCTATTACTCCTAAACACAGCTAAATTGATTAATCTATCTAAGAGGCCAGTTCACTAATTGTCTCCTATATTGTATACCACTTTTTATTTTTTAAATATAATTACTTTTTATTTCATTATATTTCACAACAGCCTCAACCTTTGGATTTACTCGGAGAGTTATGATAAAACGTATGCTACATATAATCATCCCATATATACCAAATCCATTCAATTCCGTTTAGAAGTACTTATATAATAAAACTACTTCTTTCCTTTCTTTATAATGCTTTTGAGATTTGTGGACGAAATAAATAATAAGTACATAAAATTAACCTCTAAAATTTATTTTATGAGTGCAATAAAAGAGTATTTTCCGACGAAAAGAAAATTGAATGAAGACTTCGCAATAACCATCGACTCTATATCTATTGTCATCTACAAGTTAAACTCAAAATAGATCGTACGTCTGTATGTCACACCACACACAATTTATAAATATACCCAGTCACAAGTATTCACAATCACATTTTTCACTTGGCATCGTGTGACTAATTTCCTGCCGGCCTTGCAAACTTAATTCAAGATCAAGTGGTTTGATGTCACATATTTTGTCTCATATAATTTCGTTTTAATGGAACATCGTAAACTATTAATAGTACCAACAACATTTGTCTACGGGACTATTTTAGTCATTGACCCTCTTTTCGTTTAGTCACAGTCAGAATGAGCATGAAAGATAGAAGGCAATGAAATAGTTATTGGTGATTTAGTTTAAAATAATGGTACTAAGGACGTTATATATATATATATATATGTGGAATATAAACTCGAACACTATCTCCATCTTGATAATGGTTTTAGTAAAATAAAAATATTAACAGTAACTATATTATTCAGAATATAGGGATTCCAAAGACATTGCGCTATTTCTATAGGTATTGTGTTTCTATGCAACTATTACACTCTACAATATTTCACTCAGTATAGGTAATGCTTTGTTACATAGGATTGAGATTGTCATGACTGGAAAACAAAAATTAGTAACTTAAACTAGACCTCTCTAGAGAGAAACTCTCAGACTTCACAAGTTTATATCTAATAATTAGAGAACATTCGTTGTATATTACATGGCTTATAGCTGAACAATTAAAACATTCAAATTACTCTCTACATTAAAATAATACTGGAAACTACTACTACTGAATGCCAATCAATATAATTAGGGATAGCAGGCACGACTAAGAAAAACCTCGTAGTAAATAGTATTCTTTGAAGTTATGAATACGCCTTATTATTTTCGACTTCACAGTTGAACGACATCAAAACCTACAAAGTGTCTTTACACTACCTATTATCTTAATGACATAACAATTTATGACGTGTCAATTTGCCACCGAAGTGTTGTTGTCTTTCCCCGAAGTGACTTTGACCCGTTCATCGTTCCATATATCATTGTGCAAACCATAATAATATACCGTAATGTGTAAGAGTGCTTCGTGCTTGTACTCAAGTTTCGAAGTTAGTGGGCCAAACATGTCATTAGGTTAACGGGGGAGTTATTTGTGTATGATTTTAGTGACTACACTTTATACATCATATGCCTTACAAAATTTTACGCTATCAATGGCTGGCTAAATAATACGCTATACGATACTGCATATATGTTTATTATTTTGAGTATTAGTAGTTAGACAATGCGAAATAATGCAACGTAAGGTATAGAAGTTAATTCGATTACAACTGATTAGTTCTCCTTGTGTTGAAAGGATTCAGTTCAATCACCTTTTGATTATAGCAGGTATAATAATTATCATTATATGTGTTGTTTATTATATTATACGTAGGATTAGAAAATTATATTTGTAATTATCTGAAACGTATAAAAATTTTGCCTTTTGTTACAGGGGCCGGAAATGGTTCGTGTATCGAAATTTTATAAAGAAGCTAAAAATGGTCGGTACCTTCGTTATCTCTATGAAGACACACGCACGCTTTATGAGACTTTCCGCAGAGGCGTTAAAGAATCAAGTAAGTAGTGGTACTTTACATATCAACTAGACATAGATAAGATTACTATTATTTATGCAGATATAGATATTTCTTATAAATATATTTATTAGTTACCTAGATTACCCTATATACAAAACAGTTATTTATAACATAATATCCAGAATAATTCACACAGCGTCATCTAGCTCCAAGGTAAGCAGAGCTTGTTATAGGTACTAGACAACTAGATATAAATACTTAGACTTTTTTGTAAAAACACCCATAATATACATAGAAACAACTTAGACCGATACAAACAATCATACTCCTGAATACCATTGTTTGCTAGAAATCAGACCCATGACCATTGGAAGTAAAGCGATGTGCTAAACCGCTAAATAACCAAAGCCGTCGTCATCAATATTGTCAGTAGAAAAGGCAATCGAATGCATCTCATTGTACATTATAATGTATTAGTGTAACGTACTGATGGTTACAATAGCTTGTAACAGTGCTGTTGTACCAATTTAATAAAATTGCTTTCCTACTAGAGTTAGCGCTAACTGAAATGTATTGTGTAAAGACTTATACTAGACTGGAAATAGAAAATCGATGCCGGTAAATGTTATCTCCGGGAAAATTTAATTTAACGAGAAATACAATTAGCGGGTGGAAATAGGTACTAAAGTTGATAAGTGGTAAAGGTGCTATGTTCCTGTATTACAACCATTTATACAACAGAATTTTGTTGATAAGGAGAATTTTATGCCCTTTATAAGTGACACGTTAATGTACTAGGAAGTCCTTTAAAGTATACTCTTGAGACCATAATAATGTCATATAATTTCCGCTCGTTAGTGACCCGTACTATAATGCCTCGTATATTACAAAATATTATTACCGTCTTTTAAGAACCGGTTTTCAGGATACTGTTAAACGTAATTTGCTACTAGAGTGGTAGGGACAATTCTCGTAATTTTATTTTACAAAACCTTAATGTTCATTGCGTCGACAAAATGAAACAAACAACTTTGAATCCTGTGGAATATTCCGTAGCTGAATTTATTACAACTAGACAAGATATTGGATTGATTAAGAGATAGGGGTTTTTATTATTTCAATTCTTACAGATAATGGTAATTGTCTTGGTTGGCGTGAGGGACCAAATAAGCCCTACGTATGGCAGACGTATAATGAAACTTTGCTGCGGGCGAAAAACTTCGGCTCTGGACTTATATGCCAAGGGCTACCTCCCGGGCAAAATACTTTTGTAGGTAAGTGTATACTCGACAGGAATTATAGTTTTTTTATGTTCAACTAGCGGTTACTAATTGTTTCTTACTTTTACAAAAAATAAAGTATCGACTAGAATTGTATACACTCATAATTTGAATTTATCATTAATATTTATGTTTACAGTGTTTTAAATTCTAAGGCTAAAATATTTTGTAGAATTTTACCCGTGAAACTTGTTGAACTTGTTATAATAGTATTTAGATGCACTTGGTTTTTGTATTCGAGTTCTACATGCACTTTCATATCCGTATTTTCTTAAATGTTGTTCTTAACTCCACCAGTTTTGTTATAAATAGTATATATAACATAACTTAATAAAAGAATTCCAACTACCGGCTACACATTGTTTTTTCCCTTATTTATACTATATTAACAGTAAATATACAAATACTTAGTATTATTTATTTAATATGTAATCATATATCATAATAAATAATATAAAGATGTTTTTACACACACCTTTGCTCAGTGATTCTTAAATAAAACTTAAAAAATAATGCTCTCTCCCTTTTAGTCTCTCTTGTCAGGAGATATCGACATATGAATAGAATGTTGTGCTATAGAATACTTGTTTCTTTTTTATCTTAATATTAACTTGTTTTTTACAGGTATTTACTCACAGAACTGCCCGGAATGGGTCATGACAGAACAAGCTGCATACTGCTATTCAATGGTCATTGTCCCATTGTACGACACATTAGGAGCTAATGCATGTGCCTTCATTGTTAATCAAAGTATGTATATTGAAAATCAACTTTATTTCTTTCATTCAAGTTTCGATTTGTGTAATTGGACATTTTATGTTATCCATTCAGCTGATCTACATATTCGTAAAAATATCATATTTATTTACTATAGATTCACTAAACATATGTAGCTTATGGTAACAAGATTTTGTTTTCTATTCTTGTTGTAGGAATAGACGTGCCTAATTATAATGCGTAAATATTACTATTATTACTATTACATTTAATTTATGAAATTGTTTATTACAATTAGATATTTTACAACATATAGGTACATACCTATATAACATTTTAAAATAAATTTGTTAATGTGTAAAATTTTGAAGGATTCCGTAACAGCAAATAATATAATATAGCAGGTGTTAGAAAATTCTTAGTTTTACTCAACTGAAGTAGCTAGCCTAAGTAAGTTAAATAGAACTGGCAAACTGAATGATAGAGATACTATTATGATAACTCAAACAAGAATTTTGACTTTGAATTCTAATGTAAAACTAGGAAATTATGTAATATTTGACAATGTACTTATACGTTATACTTAATTTATAGATAATGGTATAATTTGATTTTTCCAGCTGAAATGTCAGTAGTAATTTGTGAAGATGATAAGAAAGCCAATCTACTACTTGATCAGTCACCAAGGTGTCTAAGGAAACTAATCACGATTAAGGAGGTTTCGCCTTCAACGCATCAGCGAGCAAAGAGTCGCGGTGTTGAAATTCTCAAGTTTAGCGATGTTGAAATACAAGGCGCTCAGAAAGACCATCCTTGTATTGTAAGTATATTTTTAAAGAGGATATTTTCTAAGAGTTTATAACAATTTAAACTGTATATATATACTATAAAGATTTTTTAAATATATCGGAGATGTATGTATTCGACAGCCTCGGTGGTCTAGTGGTTTAGTACACCGCTTTACTATCCGATGGTCGTGGGTTCGATTCCTCGCACGGTACAAATATTTGTATTCATGAGTATGATTGTTTGTATCGGTCTGGGTGTTTTCTATGTACAATATGTATTTATTTACAAAAAAAATGTATATCAGTTGTCTAGTACCCATAACACAAGCTCTGCTTAGCTTGGGACTAGATGGCGTTGTGTGAATTGTCCTGAGATATTATATTATATACAACTGTGTAGCTCTATTGTTAAAACATATGAGAAGCATAACATACTAGCAACATAATATTATGAAAGTTAAACTTATCTGAAAAGTTTTCAACTCGTGTTGTTGTTAATAGGTATAACTTTTTATAGTTATTTAAATAATGTTTGTAGTTTTATCAATATATCATAGAGCTTATAAACTTACCGTATACCACACCTATATATATATATATATATATATATATATATATATAAAGGAAAGATATTGCATCACAATAACAGTTATACATGCTGCATAAATATCTATAATAAATTACCTGATACAGGTACAAATCTCAGTTTAAAATAGTTCTAAGACAAACTAATGAAGTGGTTGATTAATAAGTGTTTACTCATTTAAGGGTTATTTTATATGCGAATTGGATAACATTGTATGAATTGTTATTGTTAATATTATAATAATCTTCATTATATCAGTTGACATTAATTTTGCATATCGAATAGACTGAATGTCAGGACTATCATCACGTACATCTCCATTTTTATACTTACCACATTCATTGCAATAAGTGATTTCATTCGTTAATTCATTTAAATAATATTCTACTATAAAATTACAGCCACCAAAGCCAGAGAGCGTGTGCACAATTTGCTACACCTCAGGAACGACGGGCATGCCGAAAGGCGTCATGTTGACGCACGAAAATGTGGTCGCATCTATGTGCAGCGTCAACATGCAGCTGGGCGAACATAGGCCGTCGAAACATGACATCATGATCTCCTTCCTACCACTCGCTCACATGCTGGAGCGATGTTGCGAGGTATGTTTAGTATTACAATACTTCAAATGGAACAATATAAAATTACCTAATAGAAAATATAAGTACATACCTAAGATGTATTCTTAAATACAAATCTACTTTTGTTTAATTTAATCATTGTTTATTGCTTTAATCTTAGTCCGATTGGTCGTCAAATCTGATCGACACCAATTTTGCGTGTCAATTTATATTTCTGACTGTCTCTCCTTTAATCGTAACACCGCAAACAAACCAAATAAATCCGAGATACGGCGGCCATTCTGTTATGTAATGGAGTATACTCTGACAAATGTGTGCAAATCACATTAACAATGTCTCTGACTATACATTATGATATAACAGTCGTGAAGGCATATTAAAAAAAATGTTTTCTTTATGGTACTAAAAATATAACTAAATGTAGTTTGATTAGTTTATTTTTAAAGAAAAAATAAACATGAAATTTAACCGTCAATTTTCTATTTGTCTTGGCAACGGTAACACGAATTCTGTTAAATTTTAATGACGAATCAATAACGATGACGTCATTCACATTACTTAATCTGTTAGTGACGCGTTTATGCCATTCAATATGGCTTCATGATCTTACTTATAATTCTATTATTATTTGTGTGTATAAACTATCAGGGATCTTTCTCATGGATTGTTCGGAAAAGGAATAAAATAAGAATAGGTACGCTATAAAATATATAGGTATTTAGTTAAATAACCTGTATAAATTATTATTATTTAGAGTATATACGAAGAAGTTATTTTTATAAACTAAACATACACTTGACTTGATTCAATTTATATCAGTTATCAAGAAATACTAACGCGATATATATTAATTGACAAGAATATTCAAATTAAACAATAAAAGAAAGTAAATTAATATATTGTTTATTTTATACTGTCATCTCTTAAATATAGCAGTGGGGCAAGTGACTTTAATTCAATAAAATACCTGGACACATGCATGATTATATAAATAGGATAACCTATTTATATAATCATGCATATGTTTGATCCTCTAATATACTGGAAGCTTTTATTAAATATTATCAACCAATATCAATACTTAATATTTGTGTACATGTAAGTTTTTGAAGCCTAACAATAATGTTACTAATTGCACTTTCCAGAACTCCGTATACATGGTAGGTGGTGCAGTAGGATTCTACAGCGGAGATATCAGGCGACTGGCTGATGACTTGAGTGCTCTTAAACCAACCATGATTCCAGCCGTACCCCGCCTTCTCAACAGGCTCTATGATAAAGCACAATCTGAAATATCTAACTCGAAAATTAAGAAACTTCTATTCAATATGGCATTATCGGCTAAAGAGTCTGAATTAAAGAGGTAGGTTGTATGCCATCAATAGTATTTGTTTTTGACTAAGAAATTAATACATACCTATGATCTTGAAATATGTATGATACTACGATTTTTTCCACGTTTTTACTTACATAACATTTAATGAGTTATTGATGAATATATAAAATTCAGTATCTCTAGAACGTAGTTTATTTAATACGTTATATATGTTGTATGATATACTATTTGCTTTTTTTGTTGATATTTAAAAAAATCTTATATAGTTATTTTATTTCTGAAATAATTCTAATCTTATAATTGAATTCTTTTTTATCTATTATTTCAGGGGCATAATTCGCAGTGATTCTATTTGGGATAAACTGGTATTCCGTAAAGTGCGCGAAGGTATGGGAGGGCGTATACGACTTATGGTGGTCGGGTCGGCCCCTCTTGCTGGCAACGTACTCACCTTCGCACGCTGCGCTCTTGGATGTCTAGTTAGTTTTTTAATGTTTTTAATATATTATTCTTATATGCATATCACTATAAGTGAAACAAAACTTTGTACACCTTTTTATGAAAGTTTCGCGGACGGAGAAGTATGACTTATATATTTTACTTATAGTTTATATAGAAAGAAGTGCTGATATTAATTTAATTATACGTAAATAATATTAATTCAACAAAAAAACATTAAGTACACACACTAGTGTGTACTTAATGTTTGCGTTAAAAATAAATATTAATCTGTTCACAATTCGATATATGCGTGTGTGTATGTAAATTACATGGTACTCTATGTATTTAATACACACATGCATATGTCAAATTGAGAATAGATTAATATTGTTTGTCTATCTATAATCGTACGGAATGCATGAATATAACACAGAACCATAATTTAAATTAATTATAATCGAAATTCGATCGTTGGGCGACTACTTGTAAATATAATTATGCATTTATGATATTATTTTCAAACTTCACCATAACCTACCTCAATCTGTTTATACACTCAAAGCCATACCGTTTGGATAACAGTGGTTTTAACTAACACATAATATGGATAACTGCCAAAAGCTATATATCTGGAGATTCGCCTTAAAGCCAGCTTTATGAATTGGGCATTTTCCATAAATATACTATTATAAATTCTTAGCCACAACAATGTTATGACAAGGTTAGCCATCGATTTAAAATGAAATATCGATTTTCATTCACACTGGAATATTTTGAATGACACACTGTAAATAATTATATTTTCAGCGTAACCTAATAGTAATTAGTGCTTTTTTTACAATTACCATCATCAGATATTATATTTATAATTATCATCAGATTATAATTTTTCCTTGCTGATTAGTTGGGGGTAATAAAGTTAGTTTTGGTTCCTATTTTTTTTTGTAATGTTATCTTATAACAGTTGTAAAACATTGACCCCAGAGTATAAGTTGAGTGCATAAGTTGCAAAATCTCTTGTATCTATGTAATTAAATAATTTTGACTTTAACTCTGACTTAGAATATACTACTACAATGACACTTGAAGTAATATCTAATCGGCCTCACCACCAAAATATTTGAAATGAACTATAAAGAATCATAATCTTATTTCTTTACGTACAATATATTTTCTATTTATATCAACACAAAGTATAATCCTAATTGCAAATCTCCCAAAATACTATCAAAGTAATAATCAATTATGATGATTGCTCCACCAGATCGTGGAGGGATACGGCCAGACAGAGTGCACTGCGCCAGTAACTCTCACAGTTCAGGGCGATCATGTGCCTGAACATGTCGGCCCTCCCGTCGCTTGTTGCAAAGTGAAGGTATGTTTGTGTAATTTATATAGATAGTTATTCGTTAGCATTGACAACATGATCATAATACTTAATTGTTACTGCCTAGGTACTTAGACAAATCTTTACACAATGTAAAACATAGTCGGCGCGGCTGTCTGTTCGCTTATATCTTTTAAATTACGCAACGGATTTGAATGCAGTAAATTCAGAAATTTATAATGATTCAAGAGAAAGATTTATATGTATAATATATGCATGTTATAGTACTATACACTAACGTACGTAATTTTATAAATACTGAAAAACTTTGAAGTATCATAATTTTTTTTATTTTATTGATTATCATAGTATTTACAAGTCTGCTCTGTCTGATTATAATTAGACATAAAATATGCTAAGCAAAAGGCGGCCTTATTGCTTGCTGCAATCTTTTAGAATACGTAAAATACCTGCCTTAGTTATAATTTTTCATTGCTTCAGGGAGGGAGTTTTAGGAGCATAGCATTTTTAGGTGACTGTTAAATAAATGAACAAAATGATAAATGAAGTATTGACCGGCAGTTGGATAGGAACTTGAAATTGATATTTAATTTAATTTAATCATTGATCATTGATTATATATATCTTTAGTTTTAATAAAATACAATTAAAGAAAATATTGGAGTTGTGACGTATCAACGCTTAAAGAGTATGATAGAATATCATGGAAAGTGGCACGAGCTCCACCAACAAGAGCTCTTAAATTATGAATGACAAATACAATAATAATGTAAAAATCAAATGTAGTCGAGCAAATATTTATCGAGTATTAAACTTGATAAATATTTATACGATTCATACTACAGATTTCGTAAGGGCTCATTACAATGTTATACTGGACCCAAAGTCGTTCACAAATAAATCAATTATTATTGTTATTTGCAGACAACCTGAGATGACTTAGATATATCACATAGAATTCTTTTACTTTTCAGTTAGTGGATGTGCCCGAGATGGAATACTACGCGGCGCAGGGCCAGGGTGAGGTATGCGTACAAGGCGCCAACGTGTTCAAGGGATATTTCAAAGAACCAGAGAAAACCAGGGAAGTCATCGACCAAGACGGCTGGCATCACACCGGAGATGTTGGCAAATGGTTACCGGTTAGTATCATTAAAAAGTATTTTTATTTCCGTTATTGATTTGCGTGCGAAATTTGGTGCATCTTTGGGTGACGATCAATTCCATTTTATTCCACGAATCCATTCTTACCTATGGACCTGTAGCCCATGAATTTATATAGTTGATTGTTTATATATATTTCAATATAAGAAATTTGCTTGCTCCTTCGTTACAATGTTAATATAGACTAAGGTTCTAATCTTTGACTTCTATATGCATTTATTCGAAGTTTTATACATACTCGTAAGTAAAAAGTAAAAAACATTTTGGCACCCTTTTTATCTAAAATTGTTTATCAGACCATTTTTCCAGTGAATTGAATGAAAAAAATTGTTCAAACTTAATTTATCTTGTTATATACCAGTATAAATTAAGTTTGAAGATTTTTTTGTAATATGTAATAAATTAAGTTAAATTTTTTTTCTAAACAATGTAATAATAGACTATTGGTATATTTTTTATAGAATGGAACACTGAAAATAATTGACAGAAGAAAACATATATTCAAATTATCACAAGGCGAATACATAGTTCCTGAGAAAATTGAAAACATTTACATAAGGAGTCAGTACGTCGAACAAGTTTTTGTACATGGCGAATCATTAAAGGTGAGTTATTATTGTTGTGCGTTTAATGAGAATACACGGCAGGTTTGATACATCGCACGATTAGTACATTAAATGAAAATAAAAAATATGCCAAGTAGACTTTTAATTAAAGTTGATTCCCAACATTCAAAATTTATTTTTAATTTATGCACTTTATTATTAATCATATAATGGCATATATTTTAATAGTAATTATAGTCTCTACAACTCAAATAAGTACATAGATTATACAAAGCTCTCTTCTTTCTTTTTATTGTTAAGTAACTATTGTAGTTTATAGAATAGACAACGATAGATTTGTAAAACAATATCATAAGATCTGGACGTTATAACCAATGCAGTTATTTCTAGTTTCATTCAAATCTTTGTACCCCTTTTTACGAGAATTGAGCTGACGGAAGAGTATGAATGAATGTAGAAATTTCACACATTTATAGTTTATATAGAGAAGCATAGCATATTATGCAAGATGATAATATTTTTTGTTAGTTATGCATAAAAACACATTAAATTACCATGCCATTTATTTGATTATTATTATTATTATTTAGTTAGCATTAGTACTCTTTTGTTTAATTCTGGTTCAAAGATTGTATTTTTCATTATGGTTGAATTTCGACCACTGGGCTGCCACTATGTATAATAAACATCTATTGTCTTTCTGTTTCAGTCGTGCATTGTAGCGGTCGTTGTACCAGATGTCGATGTTGTAAAATGCTGGGCGCTAGAGTGTGGCATTAAGGGTACATTCTCAGCCCTTTGCGAGAACGAAAAGGTTAAAAAGGTCATCCTGGATGACATGTTACAATGGGGCAAGACCGCTGGCCTCAAGACATTTGAACAAGTAAGGAAATATGGTCATTAGTTATTATCTACACAAATACCGTATATTAGTTGAGGCGAACTACTTAGCATTCCATGGAATCATGTTAGTAAAGAGAAACTCCGAGCAATACAATTACAAAATTACAAAACGTTAATTTTCAAATTCAAATGTCTATCTTTATTATTATTATATATATATACATATCTAGCGAAATGAATATGAGAGTGTACCAGTTTTCTCTCTAATCACTTTGATCAAAACGGAACATACAGCGCCATCGAGTCCCCAAACTAAACTACTGGTTACTGTGTGTACTTAACGACTAATGGAAACATATTTTTTTTTTCTAAATACATATGCAACCCATAGCAATGTGTGAAAAACTTATGGTTGTTATTTATTTTCAGATCAAAGATATATACCTCCACCCAGATCCTTTCTCAGTACAGAACGGCCTATTGACACCCACGATGAAGGCGAAGAGACCAGAAATCAGGAACTACTTTAAACCCCAAATAGAGGACATGTATAAGCAACTCGAATAACAATAGCACTCAACATAATTAGTATATAAACGTGTGCTAACGGTACTGAATTGTTCGAATTCGAATTGTTTTAATTAGATGGACGAACATGAAACTAAACGTAATATGATTCTACGTCCACGAATGTGTAATCAATATGTAATGTTTATGAATAAAAAATGCCTATTACAGAAAATAACCATTACATTATGGATATATCCGTTATGTAATAGTTATAACAGAAAACGTATTTTACCAGACTTAACGTTCATAATTAAATCTGTACATAGAATTTGAAGCTAATTTTTATATTTTTGGTAAACAAAAGGGATAGCATTACAAATTCCTTATGAAAATACTTAGAATGGGCAACTGTACTAATTAGGTTTGTCGTAAATACGTATTTAAAGTAGAGTGATTCACTTAGTACACAGATGTACTAAAAAAGCAACTCGTGACAATTATTTGTGCAGCTTTTAATTTATAAATAACTAGTTACTAGATATTTTAAATTGACTAAAAATACTCTAAATACTTATCATATCTGTGAGGTCGTTTTACACTTATAAATATTATTTATGTAAATACTTTATCGAAACAAATTATTGCTAAGTTAAATACTCTTCTAAGTTACTATAAGTTATAGTAACTTATGAGTAAAGTTAACGTTTGTAAATTAATACATAAATTTACTCGTAAACAATTTATAAGTGTAAAAGCGGTCTAGGTTAACAATTATTACTTATTGACGAGAAAATCTAGTATTATCAAAATAAGAATGACCTTTTTCATTTCTAATATAAATGATGACTATAAATCAGTGAGATTGGTTTGATACCGAAATATACACAATAAGGTAAATTTAAATAAAATATATACATATAATACAACTAGAGCTACTACACAGAACCAAGTAAGTTTACATTAATTGAACAACAACTTCTAAAACTGTTAATATATGCAGTTAAGCTAATGAATGCACTTGGCCATTCCCTAAACCTCTAATGTTTGTTTAGAATTTATCAAGTTTTATACTAAAAAATTGGAGGTCTTTGGGAAGCAGCAGAAATGCTGTCATATTCTTAGTAATCATTAATGTTTTATTGATTGGAGTCTGTGTTTACCTTTTCAATGTTATTTGACGACATATTAAATTTGACGTCAATAACGGGTCATACTGACAGAGTTCTATGCTACATCATGATCAAACTTACTTAGAAACTAAATTATTTTAATTACCGTTGACGCATCCCAGTTCCTAACAACTGAATGACACTGAAACTACACAAAAAAGTGAAAATACTGTAATGTACGTCGGCCTTATTAAAGCAGTTAATAATACCACTTCATTTATACAATATAAGTATATAGCTAAGATTTGCCCTTTCTATTCCTCCGTGGTGAGAAGAGTACAGCTTTAGTTTAATCATTTAGACGTTAGTGTTGTAACGCACCGGAATCGACAGACTCTGATGATGACGTCATAAGTTTTTTTTATTAGTGTCCTATCACAGTACAATGTGTTCGTTATAATTTAGTCACTATTCACTTTGCTATCGCTATTAAATAGTAAGTACACCAGAAAGCAAACTTGACTGAAAATATATGAAACTGTAGAGGCTCAGTCGGTTTTGATATCCAATTGTAAAATTGTATATTTAAAGATTTACTAATATGTAATCAAAAATTCCTTTTTATATGGCAATAAAAGGAACTATCGTTTCTGGCGTAGTCAATTATAATAAATATAATTATATAAATGCATTTGGAGTAATAATAAAAATTCATTATATTATATATACATGTTTGATTAGTTCCATCTTAGAATAAATTTGACTACGGTTTGGCAATGCAAATTTGGAGAGAATATATGTCGCAAATAATTATATGCTACTTTGCGTGTCAATTTTCAGTCCTAAATTAGGTGCTTGACTCTAACTAAATTTCTTTTCGTAGTTTCTAGGTAGAAAATAGTTTAAAAAATTAATTCAAACTCTTCGTTGTCACTATAATTTAAGTAATTGCTTCGTATATCTAAATATCTATGACTGTGCTTGACACCTTATTGAATTTATATTATTTTGTAGAAGTAGAACAAGTTGGTAACTGATTGTTAAAGTATGTACAGTCAGCAACAAAAGTATCTAGTTGACTACATAGAACTAAATTTTAGACCTCATTCTAATGTTAGAAGGCATTGAACATTTCACTGAACTTGCGTTGCTGATTGTATAATATGTAGTATAATTTGCAGTCAATAATGCTAAGGCCAAATCCCATGGTATCAAAACCAATAAAAAAAAAGTTAATACAGACAGAGACCCCTCCTGACTTCAACATAGCTACTATAAGTAGTAACTTTGTCAACTAGTATGACGAGTACATATTTTTATTCATTTACGCATATTGTATTTTATAAAAAAACTAACAAATAAATAGATACAGAAATATATTTGTTATCCAGAGATACATCTCTATCAAAACGCTACCACACAAGCCTTAAAAGATACTGTACAACACTGTGGGATTTAGCTTTATAATAATAAATTATGTAGTAAGTAAAGTCACATTTCTCGCAGTATTATTTTTTGGTAATTCTTAAATACCTATTTTGTTGTATGACATAAACACATTTAATTTAATTTGATCAAATGGTAATTTTATTATAATTTATGAGAAAATATCGTAGCTAAAATTACCGTCTAGAATAAAGGTTCATGAATATTAGCTCACCACAATTAGTGCACTTATCATAATAACGCGTAAGTTCATATTCATAAAATCCAAATGGAATTGCCAGTTATACGTAGTTACAATTTTATATTACAAATTTTATAGAAAAATCGTCTACAATAATAGAATTAGATAAATTTAAGTAACTGAAACTAGATGCAAATATAGAATTTATAAAACAAACTCTCATAATTTTGTAGCACGAATTAATACTACTTTTCGTATAATTAAATAAACATTGATTTGTGTATTTTATCGACTCTGAGTGAGAATGATTACAGTAATATTTGTACATGTATAATTTCGGTGCAAATAATAAATAGTTTTAAGTAGAGAAAATACTCGATATTATACTTTATGTCGTGCCTTCGAACGAAAATATTTTGTAAATCCAAATAAATAGGCGTATGGGCCGGCATAAATATAATTAAGGCGCAAGAATCAATTTTATGTTTATTTGAATTAAGTAGAATTTTGTATTACTTTTAATCCTTTCTGTGTGAGTACTTGACTTACTTTTTAACTGGGATTGTATCGATTATTCTGAGAAAAACAAGTGACAATATTATCCTAGTAAAAGTATTTGAATCTCCGTTACGCTGTGAATGCTTAGTAAATTTCAACTGACAAAAATGACTTACTTATTCTTATTTATACGTATGAATAAAAGTGTATCTAATATGTACTATAACATTATGCACCTTTTGGTATGTAGTAGATAATGATTTAATATTCTCTGCGCAATAGTAATAAGTTGATTCATGCTTTGAGCGAACGTTACGGTTTCATGTTGTTCAAACCAAAATTTTGTTGTTATTGGTGCAAGTTGTACTGCGATAATTTATTTTTAAATAATAAAAAATAAAGAAAATATGTGTTTCATTAATTGATTGTTGTCAATAACACTATATAGATATAAACAAAATAACTTACCTTACATTTTTATATTCTGGTTAAAAGAGAAAAATTTTGGCAGAAATTAATTAACCGAGATAAACTTTGTCCTTAGTGCCTATCTTCCGTGCCTATCTTCAAGAATAAGGGTGATGTTCAAGACTGCAGCAATTATCGAGGAATAAAGCTTATGTCACATACTATGAAAGTGTGGGAGAAAATGATAGAGAGACGCTTGCGAGAGGAGTGTGATATTTCACAAAATCAATTCGGTTTTATGCCTGGTCGAGGCACCACGGATGCCATTTTTGCACTACGCCAGCTGTGCGAAAAATACCGGAATGTAAATAAAAATTTGCATATGGTATTTGTCGATCTCGAAAAGGCATACGACCGAATTCCCCGTCTAGTTTTGTGGTGGGCCCTAAAGAAGAAAGGTGTACCAGGGAAGTATGTAGATCTGATACGTGCCATGTACATTCGGTCTAACACATACGTCCGATCGGCGGTAGGTGCCTCCGATAAGTTCAGTGTGGCGGTAGGCTTACACCAGGGTTCGGCTCTAAGCCCTTACCTCTTCCTCATTGTAATGGATGCTCTGACATCGGACATTCAGGACGAGGTACCCTGGTGTATGCTGTTTGCCGACGATATTGTGCTTGTTGGTGAGGATGGAATCGAGGTCCAGAGTAGACTAGATAGATGGCAAGAAAAACTGGAGAGTGTTGGCTTGAAGATCAGCAGAACTAAAACTGAATACCTATTCTGCGATTTCGGCGGTCTCTCCAGTTTCAAGCCTATCTATCTAAACGGTGTAATGCTTCCGGTCTGCTCCGATTTTCGGTACCTCGGTTCAGTTATTCAGAACAATGCCGACATAGACACAGCGATGTAAGGCACAGAATTAGTGCGGGATGGATGAAATGGCGACAGGTCTCGGGAACGATATGCGACCCCCGAATGCCCTTGAAACTAAAGGGTAAAATTTATAAATCTATCATAAGACCTGTCATTTTGTATGGATCTGAATGTTGGGCCGTAAAAGGGATGGACGAAAGGCGTGTGCATGTGGCAGAAATGCGAATGTTAAGATGGATGTGTGGGGTTACCAGGAATGACAGAATAAGGAATGAGTATATACGAGGAAGTTTGAAAGTTGCGCCGGTTATAGAAAAGTTGCGAGGTAACAGATTGAGCTGGTATGGGCATGTTATGCGGAGGAATGAGGACCATGTCTTATGGAAAGTGTATAATATGAATGTGGATGGATGCAAAGGGAGGGGACGCCCTAAGAAAAGATGGATGGATTGTGTGAAAGATGATATGAATAAAAGAAGAGTATGTTTAGATATGACGATTGATAGAGATCAGTGGAAGAGAATGACATACTGCGCCGACCCCAAATAATGGGATAAAGGCAAGGCAATGAATGAATGAAAAAACTTTGTCCTTAGCGTGAGATTACCCACATAATTCAGGAACCAAGCAGCTTACTTTGTTCAATGTGTTTCAGCTGAAGGGAAAGGTATAACATAATTATTATAATAACATGTTAACATAAACAACTACATTAGTTCATAGAAAAACTGTGCTGCATTTATTTGTAGGTAGAGTATATTTAAACAAAAAGCAAAGAAATGTATATCTTCTTAAAATACCTTTTGAGATAGACATCTATGTAACAAACTAAATTAAAATTATATTTATTGATTTATGATATCGCTCATATAAATATAACAAGGCATTGAAATATGATATGGCAATTACAGGATATGGAGGCATGGCCGTCATATGATAACGTGATGCCGTGATGTTGCTGCCACATATAGGCGACGGGCATAGCTTACCATCATGTTGACCGTGATCTTATTTCTCTTTCTAATTACATAAATCCTCTATATAGAGACATAACACAGACCTCAATAATGGTAATGAGTGATATAATGTATAGACGCGACAGTTATCATTCGAATCGGCTCGATTCAATTCGAAAAGCTCGTTTTCAATTCAAGTCAAGAAAAAATTTTCTCGTCGTGCTACGAGATTGCAAGATTGTCGTATAATCGGGACATGTAGTGTTGAATTAAATAGTCATTCATGAATTTATTTGAGCACAATGTATATAGTCATTTGGAGTGTTAGCAAAGCAACATATAATAGCATTTTAATAGGTCAGTAGGATTAAAATACCGATATTAAGCATAGTTTGTGTTCTACATAAGTATATCAGGTATCGCAGTCACCC